CCCCCCTGTTCTGCAGAAAGATTTTAACAGGTGGAGATGGCTTTAGGAGTTTTCCATGCATAGGGAACAGGACAAGCAAAGCTACCCTGAAAGCAAGGAATATGCTGGGAAAATAGCAAATGACCTAATGTGGATGGAGCATTGGTAAGACCAGATCACACTCGGCCTTGAGGTCAGGAGTTTGACAGTTGTTCTGAGGATAAAGAGGAGTTGTTGAAAGGCTTTGTGCTGTGGAGACTGGTCATTACACCTGCGTTTTAGCATTATCCCCTTTGGCTGAAGATGGAGAATAGCTGTGAGAGGCATGGGTGGGAACTGGAAGATTCTGAGTTCGTTGAGATAAGGAGGAAGTCGATGGTGCGGTCTGGGGTGGGTAGTGCGCCGTGCTGGTCCGCGGGGATGGAGCGGAGGGCACAGTGTCGGCTATTTAGGCGGCCGAATGCGCAGGGGCAGGTGGGGCGCGAGGAAGGGGGTTCTAGTTTGCACTAATGGGAGGGCGCGGGGACCATGCACAGTGAAACCTCGCGGGAGGCGCGGGCGCCACGCGCACTTGTCCCTCGCGCTCGCCGTCCGTCAGCGCAGCCCGCGCTTCGCTCGGAGGAGGCCGCCGGCGCTGCGGGGCCGGTTCCGGTTCCGGTTCGCGTCCGCACCTGCGGCGAGGACGAGGGCGAGGGCCCGCGGCCATGGCGTTCTCTACCGTGCAGAGGCTGGCCCTGGCCTCGGGGCTTGTCCTGGCTGTGTCCCTGCTGCTGCCCAAGGCCTTCCTGTCCCGCGGAAAGCGGCTGGAGCCGCCCCCGGCGCCCGAAGGTAAGCGCAGGCCGGCTCCCCCTGCGCCGCCTGGCATCCCCGCTGAGAGGAGGGAGGGGTGACTCCGGGAGTCCCCGGTCCCCGCCCAGATATCCGCAGAACGGGCCAGAGAAGGCCGACCGGACGGCATTTGAGAGGTGCCAAGCCCCAAGGTTCCCTGGGCATCGCCGGGCGTCAGCCCAGCTCCCCCAGCCCCCTGCTGGCGCCCAGGG